CTCTTTTACGATTTTTTTTTGTCTGTTAGCAGCTTCTGAAAATATTTGTTTTCTTTTTTTTTTTTATTTTCACCATGTAAATTCCTGTGATTTTTACTGTGGTTACATGGTAACTTTTGCTTTAGCCATTGTTTTTTTTTAAACCAACTGCTGTTGTTAGGCAAGACTTCCGAATTTTGCTATGAATTCTTGATTCTGTACGTGTTGTTGTAAGCCTAAACATTAACATGTTGCACACTTACTACTTGCAGGTATTAAGCTTAAGGAGCTTTGTGTTGAGCAATGGACAACAAACATAGGCCTGGCCATGGAGGAAGGCTAGACTTTCAAGGATACACGTGCAGGACTTGGGGTTATGTAAGTATTTCATTTGGTTCTCATAGAATATGACTCGACGACTCTCGTTCTTGCTTGGATGACTCATGACTCTGTTCACATCTATACAGGTGCTTATCCTTACTTGGTGCAGAATGGTGTAGGAGTTTAAAGCTTGCGGGGCATTTTAAAATCCTTTTGGATTGTTGTTGATTATTTTGGCAATAAAGCTGGTATCTTCTTGTAACTCAGTTGCTTTATTCTTGATCTTGAATCCCTAGTTTTAACTTGGCAACTTGTAACTGGGTTTTTGTATAATTCTTGATTTTAGGACCAATGGCCATGATCCCGCCCTTGCATTGATCATTTGCGTGATTTGAGACTTGCGAGTTTTTTGATTACGTCAAGAACTACAAATTAGGTTGACGCTTTCGGGAATATTGGATGAAGTCAGTCGAGTACAAACGATATCGCTTAGTGCTGAGAAGTAGGTACTGGTCATGCATTTCATGGCGATGTCGCAGCTACCCAAAATCTCGTAAGCTTTGTCTCAAAATCCTGTACCATCTGCTTTATCAAAAACTTGGCTTATAGTTGCAATTTTGGTGTTTGCCGTTATCTCTTCGTCTTCGCATTATGAATTGAGTGCAGCTTGTTTTGTTGAATGCAAGGTACATACAGTAGGTGCTTATCCTTACTTGGTGCAGAATGGTGTAGGAGTTTAAAGTTTGCGGGGCATTTTAAAATCCTTTGGATTGTTGTTGATTATTTTGGCAATAAAGCTGGTATCTTCTTGTAACTCAGTTGCTTTATTCTTGATCTTGAATCCCTAGTTTTAACTTGGCAACTTGTAACTGGGTTTTTGTATAATTCTTGATTTTAGGACCAATGGCCATGATCCCGCCCTTGCATTGATCATTTGCGTGATTTGAGACTTGCGAGTTTTTTGATTACGTCAAGAACTACAAATTAGGTTGACGCTTCCGGGAATATTGGACGAAGTCAGTCGAGTACAAACGATATCGCTTAGTGCTGAGAAGTAGGTACTGGTCATGCATTTCATGGCGATGTTGCAGCTACCCAAAATCTCGTAAGCTTTGTCTCAAAATCCTGTACCATCTGCTTTATCAAAAACTTGGCTTATAGTTGCAATTTTGGTGTTTGCAGTTATCTTTTCGTCTTCGCATTATGAATTGAATGCAGCTTGTTTTGTTGAATGCAAGGTACATACAGTTGCTATCAGTTGGAAGATGAAGCTGTCGCCGGTTAATCGAAGAAGATGTTGAAGAATTGGTGTAACTATGAGATAGTCTTGGTACGGTGCCAAAAAAAACAGCGGTTGAAGACTGATGCAGCTCTTTGGAAATTAATTGCAGGTGAAAAATGCACATTGAGTAGGATTGTAGCAGAACTTTGCAGAAAGAATGAAGGTGATCCCCCACTCTGTGACGGGCTGTAGTTTGTAGTTTAGGAAAAATTCATTTCGTCTGTATTTTTTCATCTCCATGGTTTTGTAAATAGGGATAACACGCATCCTGTTCCTCCATATCTTGTAATAAATACTCAGTATAGATTTTCTGTTGTGCATTGTTTCATATCTTCTAATGAATACTTAGAGCCTATATATTGAAATATATTTGCACTCAAATGGACTTCGAGTTCATCTTGTAATAATCCAAGGATTCTATAACTTTGGTCTTTGTTAGTGGGTCAAAACTGACTTATAAATGTTGCCTTAAATAATCCCATCACGACTTTGAAATCCGGAAATGGCTCAAACAACATAACTTGACTGGTTATCATGGCTTTCACATTGACTTGATGTATGGATAGAAATGATCTTAATACCTTCAAAACTTAATGAGGAAATAACCAATCTTGAATTAATTTGAATCATTGCTTGTGAGTCTAGACTCATGGCGTGAAAACGAATTGACTTTGAAACAACTTTTAAAGCAAGTTCCACACGGCTGGTAATGACCAATGACATGTCTTCCATAATTGACTCAATTTTTGACTTTTGCTCTTGTATTCGGATAGTTTAGACCATCTTAATGCACTCATGTCTTACTCTAATAATTTCCTTTATATTTTAAAGTGATTCACATTATGTCTAAACATTTAGCTTGTGGTTTAATGACATTGTTTTTGAATAATTAGTCCTTAGATGGAGAGTATATTCTGCCTTTATTTCCATTTGAAATCACACACCCATACCAAAATCTTACGACTACCACAAACACACACCAAATCTCTAAAACCTGAATTTTGAAGAATCTTGGCCATAGGTCACAAAGCTTGGTATAAGAAAATGAGAGGGTAGGACAAATTTGGGGTATGACAGGTGACATTCTTCATTCCTTTCGGATCCCGTTTTTCGTAGAATTTCAGCAAACAGACCAAAGTTTCAAGTTTTACTCTACTCTAAGGAAACATAGATCACATACAACAAGCAATACATGTTATAGGAAATGATTTCACAACAAAACAACAACAAACATATATGGATCAAACAATCAAAGCATGTATTTCACAATTAATAACAAGAACACTTAAAGATCCCAACTTTTCCCCAACATGGAAAGTTTCCCAAAATCAGTTTTGTTCCTAATTACCTAATGGAACTTGAAATTGAAGGAGTAGATGAAGGTGGTGAACTATCTAAGCTCCTATTTCACTTCAAAATATCAAAGTTCCACATCCAAGCCTTTCCTTCCAATTCTCTCTCTCTCTCTCTCTCTCTCTCTCTCTCTCTCTCTCTCTCTCTCTCTCTCTCTCTCTCTCTCTCTCTCTCTTATTTATGCTTTGACCAGCGAAGTAAAGAATGAGACAAGGACCAAGTGAGAGTTTCTAGAAAAAGGAAACTTAAGGGAGAATTACAAGTGCGCCCTCCACTTTTTGCAAAATTCCAAGTGTGCCCTTATTGCAAAAAAGCATTAAGTTCCAATATCTACTACTAATCTTTGTAATTAGGATAAGTGGAATCGTTGTTTCCCCTATTATCCCTAAGAATGTGTATTTCTTCTTTGACACTGTATAAGTACACATCATTCCATACAATTTAATAAGTGGATGAGCGATGCAACCAATGTGCGAGTGTTTCTACAAGTGGGAGACTTGGCATCCAACCTTGGGCGATATATGGTGTGAGCTTGGTACTCATCCGGAGTTAGTGTTCCAGAATTGTCTTACTTCCCTTTAGATTATCTTTTCTTATGCACAATGAAATTATCCTAGTACAAAATTGGTCTTTATATTGATAGAAGATATAAGTTGCTTGAGATAAGCTAGTTAGAATACTCTCGCCAAAGGGCACACAATGTTAGACGTTTCATTTTGAGATAGGAAGATGAAAAGACATATTTGATCCTTTTGTACGATTTTCATTCAAGTATAAGGTACACATTGTGATCACAATTGCGTAAAATAAGTCTTATTGGTTAAGAGACTAGATGATGATAAGACTATTAAGTGTTAATGAATGAAAAAATGACTATTGAAGGAAGATAGTTATGGTGTTTGATTGCATGGGTAATGATCAAAGGATGAACAATTTAGGAAACTCTAGCTATGTGGTGATGAACATTAAAACCCTAGGATTTGTTTATTTCAAGTCTTGTAACTGATTGAGAGAAAGAAAATTTAAATTATGAGTGTGTTTGTTTGATTCATATTTTAGATTTGGAATTTCAATTTGATTTGGGACGAAGACTTTGTTCGGATTGATGGAATGAAATGAAATGTACAGGTATCGATAAAACAAAATAAAACTTTATTTTTTGAATTAGTTAAAATTTGATGAGGACGGTGTCAAAACTTATCACCTTTATTTTTCTTCTTTTTTAATTGGAATGTAAAATTTTCTTTGTTCCAAATTCAAATAATAAAATAAGATTTTTTTTTACACTATGGTTTAAAAGTTTATAAACATAGCTTTAGAGTTGTTTTTTTTTTTTTTTTTACATTTAATAATGTTAAATAGATGGAATTTTTAGAGTTGTATCCAAAAAATAGTTGTGGTAAATGTTTTAAAAATTATGTTAATTACAAGATTTTTATAAAAAAAATTTAGTTATAAAATTTCTTAGCATTCTAATGACCGATTAATTGTTTTTTTTTTCATTTTTTTTGTTTAAAATATTATTTAATTAAAATTACTTGAGTGATTATAAGTCTATTTGTATTAATATAAAAGTGATTTCTTTTAAGAACATGTTATTACATATACAATCTATTTGATAAAAATGAAAAATAAATATGTTAGTTGGAAGATCTCTGTACAATAATTTAGAGGGTCATTTTTTAAGAAATATAGTAGAGATACAGTACATAGTTACAATTGATTAGATCGTGAAACAGAAGGTAGAGTGATCCGATAAGATAATTAGATCATAGTTACAATTGACCCAATAAAAATCGGTGTTATCTCGTCGGTTCATTGGTCAGACGAATGAATCAATAGAACTTTTTATCTGACAAATTGATCTTTTATTTTTACTTTTAACTTACTTAAAATTTACATCCTCCTATTTTTATTTTTCTTATTTTCGGTACCCTTGTTTTAAAATTCTATTTTATTAACAATTTTTTTTAAAAATAAACCGATATTTTAACTTATTTATAATAATATTACAAAATAAAGTTTTATTTGTATTTAACTTTTAAGAAAGTTATAATAATAGAAATTAATCTCCACAATCACCACCTGGTCCTCCAAATTGGAGAGCATATCCAGTTTCCGCTTGTAATCCATAGAATTCAGCAAAAAAACAGTTACGCTTGTCAGCAACTGCATCTACATCTTTTACAAAGGGGAAAATGCTTCCCCTGGATTCAACTTGAAATGAAACATCTCTAAAATAACTTGCATGAGTAAATACGTTATCGGGAAAATATCCAGAACCCATTTGAGGACTAGGACCACCTTTACGGGTAGATGTTCTACCACCCCATCCTACTTGATGGGCTTCTCCCATGTTCGGAAATAATGATGCTGGATAATATCCTAACTTCTCTTTTTCATTAGATAACACCCAGTTTTTTGTTTCAGGATCCTGAACACAAAAACACAATATATATCAGTCACTTTTCTTTAAACATTTCATATAAAAGCAATTTAAAAGTATTCTTGAAATTTCATGGTATAGAAATAACCTGAGAAATAGATAATGTCATTTCAACCATTGCTCCACCATAAACAGACGTGCTCCCAATTTTTCCACCAAGATAGTCTTCTTTACTAGTTTGTACAAATCCTGGACATTGTACATTGAAACATCCAGTATTCTTGAAATTATCTGCCTGTTATATAATTTCAATTTAGCGCCTAAAAATCCATAATACAGTCCACAAATTTAAATTATCATAACACAAATTCTTACCGTCCATACTGCATATAAATGAGTGTCATGATCGTTGTACAACTCTGGAGCTATCTAAGATTAATACAAATATCAAATTAACAATGAATTAAAAAATAAATTTTAATGTGAAAACTATATATATAAAATGAAACTTACATGCCATCCCATGCCTATATAGCTTGTGCTATCCGGTCCATTTCGAATATATATCACAGCTGAACTTGATTGATCATTTTTAACATTCAAATTATAAACACTGGTTGTTCCAGAAACTCCATTATAGGATTTATAATTATGTGGATTTGATATAACTTCTGCGTACTGAAAACAGATTTTTATAATTATTTATAGTTGAAACTAAAACATACGTATTTGAAAGAATTTAAGTGTAAACGAAAACATACATGGTTACCATGGATTTGATCAACCAAACCATTATTGAAATATGATTTTCCTCGAATTAAATCATCTTTGGTTGTTCTTTTAATAGGAACACTTCCGGTTGGACATCGGTTTTTTTGAAGGCCAAATATAGCCTTAGTAGTTGATATTTTCGTATTATTTGTAGTTTGAAAGCTCGGATGTTTCGGATGTCTCTGTAATTAAAGGAAGAAGAAAAAAAAACTCTAATAAAATAAAAATATATTATATTATAGTTATTAATAAAATGAATTGAGTGCATACCTGCAACGTATGATTCATTAGCAAAGGATGACTAAAGGCAGGTTGATTATTAATATCAATGCAATCAACGATGTAACCAAATTCTGTCTATAAAAAGTAAAAACCATATTCAAACAGAAGCATAGTTATTTATCTATGAAGCAATATGAAGTGTAACTAATGACAAGTAAGAAAAGTGTGACATACATGAATACTTTTGATAGGAACTTTGTTAATCACTTTTAATTGCCTCTCTATTTCCATGTCATCTACCAAAGTGTTGTGCATCCTGTCAATTTGATGGCTGGTAATACAGACCACCAAACACGTGAAAAGGAACATTATATGGATCATTTTTATTCAACTATTGTGTTGTGTTGTGAATAATAAAAATGACTTAATGATGGATCATTGTTTACTCTTCTCTCTTTTATAATTAAAATTCAAAAGAAACAATCATAATTAATAAATTAAATTTTAATAAATGTCTAAATTCATGAATGTGAGTTAATTTTAGACTTGGATGGATTTAAATATTCAATCAAAAATTTTAATAAATATTCTTTACTTGGTAAATGAAAAATAAAAATATTTAAAAAATTATAAGATATTCTTATTTTAGATACAAAAAGTTATTTTACTAACTTTGAATTCTATAGATCTATTCAAATTTCAATCGGTTCTATTTAATCAATATAATTTATTTTTTAATATTAAATACAAATTATTTCTAAAGAGAGATTTTTTTTGAAAATTTTAATTTTCTTTATTTACGATATCAAGATCTTGAATTTATAGTAAAATTTAACTTATTATATATTTATAAATTTATGTTTAAAAAAATAATTTGTAATACAAAGCATGTTCTTTATATATGAGTATCTATACTAATAAAGGACTACTTTTTTTTTCAAATTATAATATTTTACCACTCTTTTTCAAAAATTCCAAAAAAAGAAAAATAATTATAAACAATCAATAAAATATAATAATAATAATAATAATAATAATAATAATAATAATAATAATAATAATAATAATAATAATAATAATAATAATAATAATAATAATAATAATAATAATAATAATAAGACACTATCTTTTTTATTTTATTTTGTGTTGAATAAAAGATAACATTCAACATTTTTTATTAATGCCTAGCATAAATTTTTCAATAAACAACATATATAAATTTTTATTGTATCAAATAAAACTTTTTTTGACAAGAAAATGAACTTTTATTTCAATATAGAGTTAATACAAATCGTTCCTAACGGATCCAAACGGAGCCAAACTCATTTTATTGTATGAAATGATTTTTAATATAGTATAATTATTTAAATAAATAATATTTTAAAAATTATTAATATCATTTTGATCATATTCCCTAAATATTTTAAATATCTGGAAAAAAATTCTTTACTTGGTCAATGAAAAATAAAAATATTTCAGAAATTATTAAGATATTCTTATTTTAGATACCAAAAGCTCCTTTACTAACTTTGAATTCTAAAGATCTATTCAAATTTCAATTTGTTATATTTAATTGATATAATTTATTCTTTTTTCAATATTTAATACAAAACATGTTTCAAATTGAGTTCTTTTTTTTTTTTTTAAATATCATTTTCTCTCTCTCTTTTTTTTTTTGGATATCAAAAGCTCAAATTTATATTAAAATTTTACTAATTACATATTTATAAGTTTATGTTATAAAAAACATTATAATTTGTATTATGAAGAGATGTTATTTCTACATAAGTATGGTGTCTATACAAATAAAGGACTGTTTTTTTTTCAAAGTATAGTATTTTACCACTCTTCCCTAAAATTCCAAAAAAATATATTTATGAACAAATAGTTTACTATAATAATAATAATAATAATAATAATAATAATAATAATAATAATAATAATAATAATAATAAAAAATACTATCTTATTTTATTTTATTTTGTGTTGAATAAAAGATAATATTTAGCATTTATTTTATTAATGTGAAGTGTAAATATCTAGATAAACACGATATATGAATATTTATCGTATTAAATGATTTTAATTATAGTATAGTTATTTGAGTAAATAATATTTTAAAATTTATTAATATCACATTGATTATATATTTAAAATATTTTAATTTTAAATTAATTTTAAATATTAAAAAATATATATTAATAATATAAAATATTTTTATACCGTGAATCAATCACTATTTTAAATATAAAATTATTTTATATCTTGAGTACCCTTCCTTTATTCTCTTTAAAAAAGATTTATTTTAAAATTTTATTATTATTATTAGGGAACGTGACCATGGTGACATGCTATAAAAACAAAAATACATGGTGAACACTCCCTATCTTGGCACCTACCTTCACCCAATGAAAAATTTACATATAATGTCATATCATTTTTTATATATATTTTATTTTAAAAAATTAATATTTTAAATTAATTTATATTAAAAATACCGATATCCAACTACTTATCATCTATATCTAAAAATTTACCAACAAAATATTGACACCGATTTGTTTTGAATATAAGATACTTCGCACACATTTCCAGAAAAATATATTTATTATAGGATATATCTTTTTTCACTTTTATTTCAATTATATATTATTTATTTATTAATTAAAAAAGTTATTAAATAAAATTTATTACATAATATTGTTAAATAAATATTTATTACATATATGTAAATAAGTATTATTTTAGAATGATTTATTTTTAAATGATCCATTTTAAAATAAAACATCATTTAAAATAAGCATTATTTTTCAATACAAAAATTTTTAAACATCATTTAAGATGTTTTGAATACTCAACATTTAAAATTATATATTCAACATTATTTTTCAATATAACATTTTTATTACATAATTGAAATAGGAAAAGGAATAATTTGGGAAACAAATTGTATTTAAGGAATTTTCGGGAGAAAAAAAAACTTAATTTAGGAAACAAGTTGTTCTTTAAAATTGCTATAATTTATTTCCTTTTCTAAAATAAGTTTTTTCTAAAAAATTGGCTCTCTCTTTTTATTTTTCTATTTTCCTTATTATGAACTTCAATTTATATTTTAATTTTTATTTATTTCATACTTATAAATTTATTTTTCAAAACAAAACTTATTATAAATTTCATTTTGAAGAGAAGTTTTTTTTAAAAACAATGGATTACTCGAAACTAGATAGTCGAATCCTTACAATACACAATTACAAACTCTTCAAACAATTAATTATATTATTAATCCAATCAACAGAAATGCTATTAGAAAAAGGTCTATAAATCATTCCCAAGAGATAGATTTAATAGAATTCACTATACTTATTTCTTTCTTGATAATGTTAAGTTTAATAATTATGAAAATGTAATATTATTTTCACCAAACACTATAGAAAACCCTGCCATGATTCATCTTTACATGTATTATCAATAAATGATAAAGTATAAATTCAAAAATATCAAAAGTAATTATTTCAAAGATAATTCTTTAACTATATTAATGAATATTGTCATGTTAATACAATATATAGCTTCATTAGTACACTTTGTTAGATCCAGGATCACAAACAAAAGCAGCAAAAGCACAAATATCTGTCGCATACGTTATATGATGATGACATTATGTTGCTTTCTAAGGGCTATTCTTCGTCATTAGAAGCCACTACTGAGCTGTTTGACAGATATGCAGCCTGCTCTTGACAAATTTGTAACCCCTCAAAATCCATTATTTTTGCAGGATCCATGAATGCTGTCAGGCACAGGTTCTTGGAAAATACAATTGGTTTTCAATTGGGGTTCCTTCCTTTCATTTACCTTGACATCCCTATTTTCGAGGACAGACCTAAGTTGTTGTATTTTCAATCGGTTGCAGATAAAATTAGATATAAGTTTGCTGCTTGGAAGGCTAGTTTACTATCTATTGCTGGACGGATTCAATTTGTCAATTCGGTAATCCATAACACGCATACTTATTCCTTCATAATTTACTCGTGGCATGTGAGTTCAATCAAGCAAATCGAATCGTGGTGTCGCAATTTCATTTAGAACGGGGACATCCTTAAGAGGAAGCTCACAAATGTGGCTTGGAGACTTGCTGTCAAGATATTAATGATGGTGGGTTGGGCATCAAATCTCTTAGGGAAACAAACGAAGCCAATAAACTAGTGCAATGTTGGTGTCATCATTAAAACATGCGTCTTCTTGAACGGTAACGTGTAAAAGTCTCATGTTTTTTCTTCAATATGGACAGGCTGCAAGAAGGTTTTCTCAGATTTAATGGAGCAGTCCATGTGGTCTATTGACAACGGGGTTAAAATAAATTTGTGGCAAGACAATTGGTGCGACCAGACTTTGGCGTCTCTTATCCAAATTTTTTATGATAGGCGGCCAATGTTGAAGGCCAAGATCAGTTCTATTTTGTGCGGCAATTAGTTTTGCCTGTTTAATGATTTAATTTTCTGTTGTCCTTCTCTGTCCGGCCTTATATCCAGTATTCATGTCAATAGTCACAATGCTAATAAACTTATTTGGATGAGGACGGAGAGTGGCAAAATTAGTGTTGAAGAGGCATACTCTCAATGCCAAGTACGAGACTCGAATTATGCTTGGGAAGCCTTTGCTGGCATGCTGTTATCCCACCCTTCCATTCTCTTTTATTATGGAGGTTAATCAAGAATAGGTTACCAACTGATGATGGTTTATCTAAATGTGGTGTAAACTTGCCTTCTATTTGTAACCTCTGTCTGCAAAGTGATGAATCTATTTCTCATTTATTCTTCTATTGCAATTACTCGAAACAGGTTTGGAAATGACTTAGTAGTATGCTAAATTTGATTATGGGAATTCAAAATATGGAATATTGTAGGTCTGCTATGAACAGAGGTGCTTCGGCTCAATGTAGAATGATTATATGTGCTTCCATTGTGGCGGTGATTAATGGAATTTGGTGGTGTTAGAACAAGATTTGGTTCTGCATATGTATCTCTAAGCTTTGATGATAACAACTTTGATTCTAACTATTGAACGTGAAACATTACAAGTGTGTGAATATATTGATCTAAATTGCTTCTGCTCAAACTCACGGATGTGAAGCTTCTAAGAAAACTATATGTTGCTGCGGCAACGTTCTCTTGACTCTTGCTTCTGACGTGTGACTCTGATCAATTCACTTCTGAAGACTGCTCAAGTTTCTGAAGATTAAATGCTGAAGGTTCTAAAAACTCTGAAGAATCTCAAGTCAGATATTGATGTGATCAAGCTTTTGATTAATGATTGAAGTTTTTGAACTCAAGCTTCCAAAGATTAAACGCTGAAGGTTCTAAAAAACTCTGAAGAATCTCAAC